CCTAGTGAGGGCACTTTTGCGCAGCCCCTTGTTCTTTCACAACCTATTGAATCCTGAGAACTGCCCAAACACCCCATAAATAATGATGAACAGATAGAGTACTTGGGATCAAGCACACAGCTTTGCTATATAAATGTCAGATGCTTTGCTAGGAGTTTTTTGTATTACCTGATGGCGGATCAACTTCTGCGTTTGTAGCACGGTCAATGATCCCTCGGAGACCTGAAGACTGAGGTTGAGGCCTGTCCTTAGGACAGACTGCTATTCAGAACAGGCACATCTCTACTTCTGGTAATCTAAAGATTACTCTGCTTTCCTTACCTGCTGTTGCTGTCAACTTCAAGTGCATAAAGTTCCTAGCCAGTCAGCCTTTCTTCTGAACATGGTGTGACATGTGAAGTGCTTTATGGTGACTCAAAAAGTGCAATAAGAGGACAAGCATGTGTGTTCCCTTTGAATTTGCTCTATGAGATGCAGTAGCTGCACTGTGTATGGCTTTCTAATAATCCAATGAGAAGCCTGTGATGTTCATGATCTCTAGAGCAGTGTGGTCTTTTACAGCATGGTCTGCATGAAGATGGACACAGCAGGTCTCTACAAGGAGCCATACCTGAACCATGAATTGTGTTTACAAATATGGGTTTACTAATATGATGGCTAATGAAAAGCTAATCACCATAAAATGTTTGAGACATTAACATTAAAAATGCATCTATAGTAATAAAAATAGCATTGTAAAAATAATATCCTACTGAACAGATCTGCTCCTTGTGTATCCTCAAAACCACATCTGCCTAGCTTAGTGACAAAATGAATTTTTCTTCTGTACTCATTAGTGACATAAAACTAATGGATTCTGCTCTGATTCTCTCCATAGCAACTGAATTCCCTGCCAGTTCCAGTTGCAGGACTAAATTCCTCTCCCAGTTCGTTCAGTACAGTTCTGTTGAGAAGAGTGAGACAGCACAGCAGTAATCAAAAGGAGCACTCTGGGTCCCTGAGATTGCACAGGTGTAACTTAGGACAACATTTAACTTACAGTTTATTTTTTTTATTATTGCTGTTGGTAATGTGTAAGCTAGAAAGAACACAGCTTGACTTTCAGAAACTGGCTTCCGTTTGCAGGTCTGGCAGTTGGCAAAAAAAAACATTATACTGTAAACAGTGCAAATTTGATCCAGAGGCCATTGTGATATACCAAGTGTGGAATCCCATAGTGCCACTTCAGTTGCTTTTTGGAGTGAAACTGCACTTTAAACAGTGAAAGCTGATTATTTCTTGCTGCACTGCTTATTTTGTTCCAAACATTTATGGTTTGATGGAAACAAGAAGCTCTGAGATAGCTTGAGATGCTGCAAAAGAGTGCACCTGCAAAGCATCTTTTAAGTACCGTTGCTTTTTTAGTCAATAAAGTCTTGAAACTTTGCAAATGAATAAAGATGCAGTTTTTGCTTGAGAGAATGAAGTGATTAAAAGACACAACACCCAGGAGTGTAAATGAGCAGTAAATCATTGACACAGTCTTTTGAAATCACTTTCAGGCCTCTAAAATGCCATCATCCTCCCTATTTGGGATTCTGAGTCCCCGAAATTATGTTTTATGAGCTGTGAGAAGTGAGACTTGGTTACAAATCCAGAAATCACCATGCCATATGCATTGTTTTTGTTATTCCCTTTATAAATTTGTAGCTGGAAAAATCTGTTTTGATCATGTTCTTCTAAGCAACCATTTCCTGAGCTATCTAATGCTATCTTAAACCTTGGACTGTCTCCCTCCTGTCCCCCAGCTGCTTCTCTGGAAGGCCATTAACCACCTTACTCCTTTCCCATTTAAAAAACCTTTTCTAATTTCCAGCTTTAAATTTATTCATGGCTGGCTTATAATCATGTGCTCTTGTACCAACATTGTCATTTAACTTAAATAGCTCTTTTCCCTCCCGGATGTATATATAGAGAGACATCATATTCCTGCTCTGCCTTCATCTTCCTAGGCTAAACATCTTGTTAGGCTCTTTTCGTCTTCTCTTATAAGCAAGGCACTCCATCTCATGATTATTTCAGTAGCCCATCTCTGCAACCTGCTTGAGCTTTGTGGGTTTTGTTAACATCCAAACGATATTTAAAGAATACAGATGTGAATCCAGAACCTCTCTGAAAAAATTGTTAATTACCTATGCTGTTTAAACGTCTGCTTTTGTTAGATTAAAAAGCCCTTCACTATCAGGAATCTCCCCATGTTGCTACTTTTACAACACAAGCAAACAGTGGAAAGCTAGTTCATTGTATGTTATACAGGTTTTACATCATTTCTTCCAATTCTTCAGTGCGCAGACCAGTACTTGCAGACGACACGTGCATTTGTGACGTACAGTGGAATGTTTGGGGGCTATGTACACAAAAGAGAGGCTTATAGGATACTTAGTATTGCTGGGGGCACTAGATCACACAAAGACACATGTATTTTAAAACTTGTACCAGGTATGATACAGAGAAGCCTACATGAGACTTGAAACAAGCTGGAGCTGAATTCTACAACTACAATTTTTCAACTGACAGAGAAGACTGCAGAAACCTGAGAATTGTAGCAACCTGAAAACTGCTGAGCAATTCCCAGTAAATCCATGAACTTAGAATCCTGAGTAAGACATGGGAATGAAAATACAGGGGTCTGAGCAGTTACTAAGAGATCCCATTTGATTGAGTTATGGTAGCTCATCAGTGGAGGCACAATAAAGGGCTGAGTGTTCAAGTCTAGTCTTTTGCAATGCCAAAGTGAAAAGAATTAGCGGAAACACTTTCGTAGTAGTTAATTGACCTTTTACAGTGGTTTAAGCAAACAGATTTTACTTCAAATTTGCAATGAATTTGGACCATGCACATAATCAGCTTGCACAGCTGTATTGATAAGTGCTAACTCATTAGCCGTGATAAGCTGCTCACTTACATTTGTCCACACTCATCATGCTGCCTTTAGCAATGTGCCATGGCTGTGTTATGCTGGAAGAGCATGAATGTTCTCTACATGTTGCTGAGAAGAACTGGAAGGCTTTTAACATTGAATGAATACAACCAAGGTATTTCACATGTCAACAACTTAGGGATTTGGCAGAGAGAAAACATTTGAGTGTTTTTAGAACAGGAAAACAGTACAATTTCCCTGTCCTTCTTCCTGGGCTTAGGATATGGTTGAACTTCCTACCTCAACAGTGATTAAGAGTAACTTTGTAGATCCTACTACTGCATCCAACGAACAACGAAATTTGTCTCATAGCATAAAGACACTATTGTAATTTAAATGCTGAAGGCCTCAAAGTTAAAACTTCACTGAGATGAATGGGAGTCATTCGTTCAGGAAGTAGAGCTGTTGTTGGAATTCTCAGCACACTCAGGAAGACAAAGTTGGACCATTTTTGTATTTGATTCATGTAGCAGAGCTTTTCTTTAGAGCTAACATTAATAAAGCCATATTACCCTATTGTTCTCATGTGGCATAGGAATAATTAGAGATGCTCAGCTTGTTTGAAAGTAAGGCTGCCCAAAATAAGATATGCTATGAAAATTTAAGTTACTGTAATCCAATTCTTCTGAAATGAGAATTAAAAAAAAATATAGAGCATTGTTTGCAATTATAAATTATACAGGTTAAATATGACATGCTACTACACACTTAAAATGGTGGCTAAGCATTTCAGAACATTTTTTTTTTGACTGATAGGAATAAGGTAGTATAGCTTCTTCAAAAAATATTGAGAAATAGAATACAGAAAGAAATCCTTATCATGTTTCTTGGTGATGCAAGACCAAAGGTAAACACTTCAAAGCTTATAATTCTGGGCAGACTTGTGTGTCTCATATTTGTCTTGATCTTGAGCATTTTTCAATTGACTTGGATCAAATTCCATAATCAAAATCATAATGACTTCTTGGTTTATTACAGTAGAATGACTTTGAAGCCAGTTCTGCTCTCCTATCACACAATGAGATTTCTCTAATACTTAACAGTTATACCCTTTTCAAAGCAGAAGTAAAATGTATTGTTGCATCACATAACCTTCATTTGCTGAGCCCAACTTTATCTTAACAATGTAGAAGCTTGCACATAAAATCTAGCTTGTTTTGCAACATGGGAACTGTTGTAGAACTGTGCTTAGTAAACTCACAAAATATCCAGGGAACCTATGCCAGTGCCACAGAGTGAATCTTTTAAAATGCAGTCATGTTCCTCATCTGGGCTATAATTCCTCAAGTTAAACTAATTTAACTGAGGGATAGCTGTAGTCCAAAGGACCTGGAACTTGTCTCATCGTTACCATTGACTCAGTGAAGCTGAAGTGTCACTGAACTGTGCAGTTTACCTTTATGTAAAGTGGAAATGGTTTGCATCAGGTAGGTCGCCAACAATTCTTTCATGAGGGCATGTCTTCTGCTTGCAGTGTGCATCCATACGCTGTCCTGCCATGGGCTTTTACTGATGCAGCACAGATGTGTAAGGTTAATGCCACAAATTCCTCCCTGTGAAGTTAACAGAACTGAACTGAACCAAGACTTGCAGGATTAAACCTACATCTTATTTCTGTACAATATTTGCAATAAACTGATATCTTTGTGTCATTTGCACATCTTACTAAAGAGAGAAAAGCAGTTACTGTTCTGTCAGTTTATTTGATCGTGTCCCTTTCTTTTCTTGCTGTGAGTTCTTAGATCTGTGCTAATGAGAAATGACCAATAATGGCAAAACAATAGCACATTCAAATCAAGTAATAAATGTGTAACCCAATTGTAGAACGTATTTGTATACAAATACATACTTCTAGTGCTGCCTCCATTCAAAATGAGCCTGTATGGAGCATTCTTTATATTTTACAGGATGTATGAAGGTCAGCATCATCACAATGCATGGCCGGATCTTCCATATTAAAGTCCTAGAGAGTGCTCCTGCGTGGCTATAGAAACTGCTTAGGTATCTTCTAAATGAGTCAATAACTTTTTTTTTTCCCTAGGATGTAATTGGAAAGGCACTGCAGTATATTGGAACATATGGTGAGCTCTGCAACACAGAGCAAGTTGTGGCTCTGATTGACGAGGAAATGTGTATCAACTGTGGCAAATGTTACATGACCTGTAATGATTCTGGCTACCAGGTAAGAGCACAGCTGTAATTAGCAGAAAGGCACGATGAGTTATCTTTCTGCTGCTGGGAGGAAAGAATCCACCTTCTGTTAATGAGCAGGTGGTAAAAACAGATGTCTAAAATATTGGATTTGAACCCCAGCATGCTCCCAGGCTATACTGTGCAAGACCCAGCATGGCTGCTTCTGGAGGGCTATGCAGAAGTGTACCACATTTTGCTGGCTCACTCTAGGTCACTCTACTGGTGTCTCCCTAACTGTCAGTGGGATTCTTTTTAAGAGGAAGAAAATGAAGGAGACCCGAGTCAGATGGCAGTAATGACTGATGTTCTTTGATGTTCTTCAAGTACATGAGGAACAAAGGGAAGAATGCATCCCTTCCCACCAAGGGGATGCAGGGACACAAGAGCTGTTCTTATTTCCAAATGCTTTTTAAGAAACCTAGTCCTTGTTCCACCAGCGTAACTCGAACTGATTCAGGTTTCAGGCAGGTGGGTTTTTGTTGATTGAGATACAAATCCTTTCTTCAGGATAGCTGCCAGGGTTTAGAGCAGCAGGTTGAAGTTTAGAGAAATTGTTGTGCCCAGAAAATAGCAGAATTTTGAGCTGGGGCTCCTGTTTGCAGCAAAGCATTTCTCCGATTTCTGCTCAGTACGGTAACATAAGTTGTATGAAATGTATCAGCATTTCTACATACCATTCCTTGCCCTGTCGACTGGAGCTGATGGACTGGTCTGCAGTAAAAAGGGCAATTCAGGAGGACTCATGTTCTTTTAGAAAACCAAAATATAGTCTAGCATAACCTCCGTGGAATCTGGTATGCAGTAAGCGATAGTTTCTGCATGAATTTTTCTGTTCATCTCAGTCTGATAATAGTTTGTCAGAGGCAAATACATTAACAGAGCACCAAGTTTCCTCTGAACAACATGACCTTTTGTTTATCCTTAATTCAGTTTAATCAATAGTAGGTGTGATGAATTTAACTACATACAGTCAGAGGAAGAAGTCCTCCCATTTAAAATCAACTCCTGCAATAAAAAAAAGTGTGTCAGAGCAAAGGTAGACATGTTTTTTTCCAGTGATATGAGAAAATTAAGGCTGTATTTATACTAGATTAGATTACCACAGTAGCCTTTTAACTGTCTAAATTTATTCTTGACACTGCAATCTTCATCTCTTCTCCTTCCATCAGATTCCCCAGTGAAGAGGAGCATATAGCCCTTGGAGAACAAATAACTGTGTTTATATTTAGTAGAAGTTACTTTTCAATAACTAGGGGAAAAAAAAAAAACAACCACCAAAAGAACCAAAGCTTAAAGCCCCAGGAGGTTTTCTAAGCACAAAGAAATGGGTTTTTGCTTAATTAATTAGGGAAATTGAAAAGAAATTAATTGCAAAGATTTGCAAAGAAATTGTTAATTGCAAAGAAATCAAAAGCCCCCTTCCCTTCAAAATAGCATCTGCTTTATGCTTATCTTTGTTTCAAAAATATCCATGCTGCTCTACAGAGCTATCACCTTGTATGAATCCAACAGAAAAGCTTTCCTTAATTTAAAGTTAGCACTGTAGTCCTGACTTCTCTCCCTCTTTGAACTGCCTTTCAAGATGTGCATTGTCATTAGGGAGAGAGGAAGGAGTCCTTAAACACTCACAAACCAAAGCTCTCTTTGTGCTCAAGCTAAACTGAAACTTGTAGATTCAGGGCAGTTTGTACCTACTTTGTGCCCTTGCTGGTTGCTACAGCAACTTCTGTGCTCTCTCTCCTTGCAGTGACACCCCAAATGCCTCAGACCTGCCCTTGGAGCCAACCTGCAGCACCACCAAGTCCCTCTCATCTCCTCCGCGGCTCCTCCGGTGGCTGAGGGTGGTTAGGGAGTTTTGCTAAGGCACCACTTGTTCGCATATAAGTGAGAATTCAGTTTTCAGGCCTGATTTTTCCCTCCTAAAACTCTTAAAAGTAGATATTCAGCATTTTTTCTTATTTTTTTACTTTTCTAGACTTGCTTCTTAGATATTGAATCTTTTGCGGTGTGGTGCTTTTGTTTTTGCTTTTAATTGCCATTTCCATTATACCAGGAGCTTATTTCATTGAGACTGCAATTGCTATTTCACATTCAAATACACTTATCACACTAATTGGTAACGAGGATCCACTGCATGGAAACGTGAGAAATACTGCAAACTCTGCCTGCCCAGAACTCAGATATCCCTCTCAAAAATTTGTAAAGGGAAATAATCACGAGGCACAGCGTGCTGTGTTTTTCTCTACTATTTATTAAATTAGATTTTTTTATGCTGTGATGACAATAAAAGTCAAAAGAACGTATTGTGGCCAGCGTTGTGCTGAAGCCATACAGGCACGTTCTGGTGTCTCCTCTGAACCAATAACCCCAGCAAACTGCTGTCTTATGAAATATTTCCTTCACGCGAAGGAGAAATATCCCTCTGGGAGTTTAAACATTATGGGCCAAACTCCTTCTTTTGAAACCAGCCCTTGTGTCCCGTGAGCTTTTGCCGCGGTATAGTTTGGCCCATATTTCTAATTTTAAAGTGCCGGGCAGGGGGTTGTTTTGTTCCCTGCCAGTCGAACAGTTGCTATAGCTGCAGTGCAGAATCACACCAAGATGTCTCCAAGTGCTGTAGCACAGGAAATGCAGACACTAAAATGGAAGCAATTCTAACCTTTTCCGTGAGTGACATCAATAATGTTTATTCCTGTTCACAGGCTATCCAGTTTGATCCCGAAACCCACCTGCCCACGGTTACTGACAGCTGTACAGGCTGCACCCTGTGTCTCAGCGTCTGCCCCGTTATCGACTGCATCCGCATGGTTTCCAGGACAACACCCTACGAACCAAAGCGCGGGCTGCCCTTAGCCGTGAACCCCATGTGTTGAGGTGATCGGTCCGACAGCTAATGTGAACTTTACACTTGTTTGATGCAATTGATTTGCTTTCTAATTAGTCCTTGAAAATCTACTCTTATTAAAAAAATGCGATATTGATAGCCTTTACAATGAACACTGTGTTTTCCAATTATTATTTTTACAATAATTAAGTTTTGAAATTACAGAAAGACAGCAATTAGTCAGTCGTGGCTGTCCGTTGTCCACTATTTGAAGTGTAACTTTCTCCTTACAATTCATGCTGTAATTTCAAAATTTCTTTATAGACTCTTTAATCTCTGTGTATTTTCTGGCTGTAAATATAATTAAGAAAGCATTTTTAATGAACTACAAATCAATGTACAAGCTAGCTGTTTTCAAGGAGTCATTTTGTAATTAAACATTACATTTAGTTTTAAAAGAGTTTCTTAGAAGATGTAATTAACTACATAGCATTCAAACAAAGCAATGTGGCTTCTATTTTTCTATGGGAAGAAATGAAAGGGAGTTTAAAATAGGATTTAAGAACTGGATTAATCGCTTTCAACTACTACAGCATATGGTAGTGTATTTTTATAATCCTTTCCAATTCTTTCTCACACTAGTCACTTTATAGAATAAATTTGTTGTGCACTGAAACATGCTGGACTCTCCACATTTGTGTGTGGCATGGGTAGCCTGATCGTTATTTTTTTCCCCCAGTGAACACTCATAACATCTCTCTAAAAACAGTTAAACCAGCGTATTACGAAGTCCAGGTTGCATTTCAGGATTCTGACTTGTGACAACATTTTTTGCTCCAAGTTCATCCTCTAAATAACTTTTTAATTGTGCCAATTAATGTTCCAGAATGTACATGTTACAGGTCAGAGATCTGATTACGTGCAAATGGAATACACACCCTGCAGACCACGTTTGCCAAACACAGACACATAGGGCAAACTGGCAAGATGATTCCCCCAGTGCCAATTCTTCGTACTTATTGGTTATGTATGGTTATAATAATTGCACAAACAAAAAGAAATACAGATTTGTCTGTCTTGCTAAACAATACCTCAGTTTTAATCCATTTTTCATTCACAGTAGGAACTTTCTAATATTAACATATTGCTGTCTGCTTTACTCCACTTAAGAATTTAAAGCCTTTAAGTTTCATGATAATAAACAATCTATCAATTCAATTTCTTATATCCTATATTGTGATCAGCAAAAGCTTTGATTAAAAATACACCCTGACTTTTTTTTCTTGATTTATAAGTTGTGCACTGAATTATAAATAAATGTTGAAACCAACTTGGATTTGTTTGTGGGTTGTTTTTTTATTTACTAAACAGATTTTTCTTGTAGAGGCTTGTCAGTGGTGTTTCATGATCTCTAAGATTCACTCCAGGAATCATTAATGAGTTAATTCATGTGTATATTATTCCATTAATTGCCCACAGTGCTGAATGTAGCGTGCTCTTTGCCCCTCTCTGGCACCTCTTTGTCTGCCTTTGCCTTGTCTTCCTTTTGCATCCCTTCCCCGGCCGGACGCACGCACACACTTGCGTGCGCACGTATGTACTCGCTGTGTCACTGTAATGTTTTCAAGTGTCATTTCATTTAGTATCCTCGCTCTACCAACACTGTCTTGCTGACACTTCAGGCTTGCTTGATGAGATCCCTTGGCAGGCTCAAGCCCCGTGTCTCCACTAATAGCTTTCTCTTCATGCTTTAATTTTTCTCTTCATCGTTGTAGATTTTTCACACTTAGATGAAAACTGGAACAGATAGTCAAACTGCTTAGAAAATACTGGCCTGGAACTTCTCTTGGTCTTCCAGTAGTTTCTTATCTTATGTGAGCTATAGAGAACTCACAGGAAGAACAAGATGTTTCCTAAATGTTAGGGGCAAAGTTTGGAAAGTCTCTGCATGTACCGCTTGTACCTCTTCCGGGGAGCTGGCTGACAGGCAGCATGCCCCTGAGTGGGGCAGAAAAAAACATCAAAATCAGATCATCTGCTGGTAACCTGTTACGTTCTCAGTTAGATGCAAGGAAAAGTAGCAATCCTCTCCTAAGCTGTTACCAGGTACTTGTGATTTTGTAGCCTACCTACCACAGACTCCGAGGGTGAGAGGTGCTGTGTCACCTGTGACTGAGCTGGGCAGCTTCCCCAGGTCTTTTGTTGCTGCATCACCAGACCTGATTACCCCGCTATCCTGAAGGCATCACGTCTGGGAGCGTGGCTGCTTTTAAATACAGAACAATGACAGGAGACCTAATTTAAGGAGCTAAGCACATGTGTATCATAAATGTACCAGCAAAATTAGAGCTTTTACTAGGATATTCAGTAGTCGCGGGATATCCAGTATTCCCAAGTAACTATAAAGTAATGTTTGGAGGAGTAGAGGCATTCTTTGTGAATCAAGATTATAATCAAGGCTATAATTTGTTTACCAAGCAAGAAATAACGGGCTATACTATGCAGGTTTCTTTCTCACTATCCGCCCTCTCCCCGACTCTTGTTCTGTCAAGCCCATTAACAGTGTCAGGAAATGAGTTCCCAAATGAATGTGAATACTTTCTAACGGTGACAGTCAGCAATAAATCTGTGTGTTGCAGGAACTCAGAGAAATGACCACATTTAGGTCTCCTGCAGGATTGTCTTTAAGTCATCAGGGTAAGGCGAGGTGTAAACAGGCAGGGGAGAGCGCCACAAAGGACACATTCCTGGGTTTTATAGGTTTTCACATCTGTCCTGGGGAATCCATCCCATTCAGCGCATTCGAGAGCCAAGGAAACAAATCAGAAGAACCTGGTCTATTCTGCAAATGCTGTAGCCAGTTATTAAAAAAGGGATACGAATTTTTGAAGTGTAAAAGGTTCCAAATTAAGCTCGTATATTTCAGTGATTTAGTTGCACATTTAAGGAATTATGTATTATTAAAGACATGCTGGGCAAGATCCTGCAACCCTAGCCCTCACAGTTTCTAGACATGTTGTCCTATTGATTACTGTTATAAAATATTGTAAACTATATTTGACAAATTAAATTATGATAGAAATGCCATAGCTCATCCTCCAGCAGCACATTCTTATTCACATCATATTCCTGAACAGAAAAAGCTCCCCATGTTCAGTGTATGCTCTGCAGTCCAAGAAATACTTGAAAAAGCTGCCAAATCCGCTTGTGTGAATCCCAGTGCACTCATACATGTTCATTGGAAAAAGAGATGTTTTGCCTTGCTAACAGACTATACAGGCAGTTTGGTTTTTGGCCTCTAGGATGAACAGACATAATATTTCCAAGGCACTGGATTGGCAATGTTAATAGATGCATTTGAAAAATTACACAGGATTTTTGAAATACATAATTTCGTGATTTTAAATAAAATATTAATTTGATCTCTCAGCAAAATTAAAACTAGCCTTTGTGCATGAATCTGATGGGTAAGCCTGTATCTCCAGTGTTGAAGCCACTGTACCAGCGCCCTTGCCCTGACGCTTTACCAATTGCTAGAGGAAGCCGCCTTTGCAGACACCCATTTGCTCCGTTCATAAAATTTGGCAGGAGCAAAATGCAAGTTACCTATTTAGAAGCTCTGCCCTTCTGAGTCGTGTCATGGAGGACACAGGGCTTTCCTCCTTGTGGCCTCTGAGAGAGAGGACTTGGCAGCCACAGAGTGGCTCACTGTCATTTCTGCAGGCTCCCCGCCTTCCACTACGTAGTACTGGCACCTTCGGCTCCTCCACCTTTGTTGTCTTAAGCCTTTTATCTCAAGGTGGCAAAAGCAATTGCTAGATTCAAGGCAAACTATCCAAACCCCACCTGAATGCCATCAACCCCATACCTCTTAAAGCCACTTTGTTTAACACAATCCGGGATTATAGCCTTAGCAATATACTGTTAAGCATAAGTATTTTCTACGAATAAGAAGATCCCGCCAACATATTCTATACATATGTTTCATTATTTATCTACTGTAACACAGGTTTGGGCATGTTGTTAAAATTTTATATTTTTCAACATATTTTCTAGTAGAAAATTTTTTTAGATAAAATATTTATTTCATTGGCAAAGGTTTCACTTCACCAGGCTGTTCCACTTCTTTGATGAACTGTGGAAGCTAGGTTTTCATTGGCAACATCTGGCAACCTGGCAGACTCTCTCAGCAGCTGGATTGGTAACTTTGGGTCTTTCATATCATTAGTCTGCTTATGGGCCACCTGGGTCTCTTTGTCTTTGCTGTTGCCCTTTCCTTTCCTTTCTGAGGAACTGTAAGCTCTCCAGTTATTTCTCCAGGAGACCAGTTTTTAATCACTCTTCCACAGACTGGTGTGCTGGGTCTTGTGCAGACGTCCACACTGGCCTTGCCCAGGAGCAGAGACTCCGCTTTCATCCCTCCATCTTTCTTGGAGGGCTGAATCTGCCCATCATGACTATTTGTGATGTGGGAGCAGAGCTGCTCATTGCTACCATGCAGTGAAGCTGGAGGGCAGCTCGGCAAGTGGACACACATCGTGTCTGCACAAATGACATCCTAAACAATCTCAGATCTTAACAGTAAAAACACATACGCACACACAAGCGTGCACACACACTCTCCTCTCCAAGTTACTACAAGGAAATGCAATTGTTCATTTTCTGTAGAAGAGCTGCAAGTTTTTCAGCTTTACCTTGCTCTGCCTACCTAGATGCTTTGAAACACACTGGGGCTGGGCAATATAAGTGAAATAATTTGGAGTGAGCGCTGGAACAGAACAAAGTCCTTCCACTGTGACTTAGCAGCTGAAAATGGTAGCCATTCAGTTTAGCTTTCCTTTGCGAAATACTAACACATCTGGTGGTGCTCTAGAAATACCAACCCTCTCGTGTACACTCAGCATTGCAGTGCAACTGAGTACAGGGGAGATTTCCCGTGCTGGGTTTGCACCTTACACGGCGAGGGCTTCCTCTGCAGGGAAGGCTACAGCATCACCTTCTAGCCTCCAGATGTGGAGGTAAGGCTGTACGTGCCTGGCTGTCTAGCAC